GGTGGGGGGTGGTCGGGCGGTTGGCGTTTAGGGTTGGTGGGTGGATGAACGGGTGGGTGGACGGAGGGACTGAGGGGCGCAAGGGATGCAAAGGAAGGCAGTTCGGCGGGCCGGAGCGGGAATCAGACGCGACGTCGCGGCCGTGCGCCACCCAGACAGAAACAGGCGGCACCCTGGCCCCCAGGCTGCGCCCTGCAGCCGCCGCGTTTGATGGTGCGCCAGCGCGCGCGCGTGCCTGCTGCTCTTTGCGCTTCTCTATGGCGTCCAGCTGCCACTCCTCCCGGTTGATGCCCTCCACCGCCGCGTTGGCCGCCGCCTCGACGTCCACGCCGCGCTGTGCCTCGACGTGCCTGATGGTGTGTGTGTGTGTGTGTGTGTGTGTGTGTGTGTGTGTGTGTGTGTGTGTGTGACGGGGTGCGCCCAGCGGTGTGAGCGTGTGGGGTTCAAGGGGTTGATAGTGGTGGGCGCTGTGCAGGGTGGTGTGCGAGCATGGACTGACAAACACGCCCCTCCGCACACACACTCCCTTGCACACCGACACAAAAACACAAAAACTGTTTTCTCCCCTAGCCCCCCCCTCTCTCAGACACACACACACACACACACACACACTCACACGCACCCACTATCCCCCAGCCAACAAGCCCACCCTTGCGCGCACACGTGCCCGCACGCACGCACACGCACACACACACACACACACACACACACACACACACACAAAACACACAACAACCCCCCCGCCCACCTGACAGCATAGAGCTCAACGGGCCGCAGGCTGTCATTCAGCCGCTTCAGCACGTCACCCTCCCCCGCGCCCTCGCCACCGCCGCCCGCCACGCCCAGCTGCGCCGCCATGTCGCTCATCAGCGCGCGCGCGTCCTCGTCGCCGCCGTCGCCCGCCGCTGCTCGGTGCAGTGACAGAGTTGGGGAGAGGCGGTCAGGCGGGGGCCGGGCGGCAGGTGGGTGGATTGCCTCCGTTCTGGCGCCGCACTTGGTATTCAAGGCGTTTGGAATGGCAGCAAGGACGTAACGTGTGCGTGCACAAAAACAACACGACGAAAGGACTCCATTGCCAGTTCGCGCGACGGCAGGGCAGCAGAGCGGCCCGCGGCCCCGGCTCGTCGACTCACCCGCAGCCGTGGCGCCGGCCGCGGCACCGGCCGGCGGCGTCGCGCGCGCGCCCGGGCCGGGAGTTGTGGAGGGCCGCGAGGCGGAGGGCGTCCCGGCGCGCGCCGCGCCGTCGCCTGTCGCGGAGAGGGGGCAGCACGTACGACGCGGGTGACGTCAGCCCCAGCCCCGCCCTCACGGCAGCGTTGTACACCCGGCCCCAACGCCTTCATACATCAGAAACCGCAACGGTCTTCACCCCCCACAAAAGCGGCGTCCCCAGGGTTGACTCAGGCTGCCCCAGGTCAACCCGGGCGCCCCGCCCCGCGCCTCAAATCCCCCCCTCCCTGTGCCGCACCCTCGTCGTCGTCCCCCTCCGCCTCCTCCCCCACGGGCGGCGGCGGCGGGTCCTTCGTGAACTCCTCCATCTCCTCCGCCACCTGGCACGGCGGTTTCAGCGGTTTCGGCGGTTTCGGCGTTTTCAACGGCGGTTCCATGTGCGGCGGCGCCTGCGGCGGCTGCCCCGTGCGCTTCCAGCGACCCACCGCAGGGGCGGCGAACGCCCCCCAGGGATGACGCGCCTCGCCTTGCCCTGCACGCACGGCTGGCTCGTCGCATCGCGTGCACCCACGCCCCAGCCGAGGGCCGCCCCGCCGCCTGGGGCGCCCCGCCCCTCCCCCGCTGCGCCCCCCCCTCGCGCACCTCCTTCTCCGCGGCTGCCGCCGCGCGTCCGTCCTCCTCGTCCTCCGCGTTGCGGAATGCGGCGCGCACCTCGTCCAGGGACATGCCGCCCGTCATGCTGCTGCCGCCGGCCGCGTCTGTGACGGATTTGTGGTTGGTTTATGAAGGGTCCGGGCGGGGCGTGCCGTGAGTGTGTGCCGGGTTGGTGGGTATGGGTGGGAAGGCGGTGCGCAAAATGAGGGGCGCCGGCACCCGCACCGGGCGAGGGGGTCTAGGGGGCAGCGGTCGAGCGTCAAGCCGGGAGAGGCCGGGCTGTTCCTTTGCATTCACCGTTCTGTCACCGCTGCACTCGGCCGCGCGCGTCGCTGCGCCCGAGCCGCCCTGCGCACGCAACTCCCCGCCGCCGCCCTCCCCCCCTCCCGCGCACCCGCCATGGCCTTCGCGAGGAACTCGGTGTTGAACGCCCCGGACTGGATGGCCAGCCAGTCCAGCTGGCGCTTCTGGTCGGACTTGCGCAGGATGTTCTCCTCTATGGTGTTGGTGCTGATGAGGCGGTAGATGTGCACCTCGCGCGTCTGGCCGATGCGGTGGCAGCGGTCCTGCGGAAGGGGGGGGGCGTGTGGGGTGTTGTTGTGGGTGTCTGTTTGTGTGCGTGTGTGGATATGTTCGTATGTGCGTGTGCTTGTGCCTGTGCCTGTGCATGTGAGTGTGTGTGTGCGCGCGTATGTGTGTGTTTGTGTGTGTATGAATGTGAGAGAGTGTGTGTGTGTGTGCATGTGTGCGTGCGTGTGTGTGTTTGCGTGTGTGTGTGAATGTGCGCAAGTAATTGCGTGAGCGCATACAAAGAACTGGCCCAAGACCGGGCGCCCGGGGACGAGCGCGGGTCAGGTTCGCGGGAGAGCGCGGTGGGACGCGCCTTCAGCCCCACACGCGCGTGGTCGCGCGCCCTCGCGGCCCCCACCTCCCACCTGCGCCTGCGCGTCCATGGCGGGGTTCCAGTCGCTGTCGTAGAACACCACGGTGTCGGCCCCCGTGAGGTTGATGCCCACGCCGCCGGAGCGCGTCGACAGGATGAAGACAAAGTACTTGGGGTCGGTGTTGAAGCGCTGCATCATCACC